GTTACATTTCTCTAGGTCTTCCATGAAACTATTTTTGATTTTGTATTTCTACTTTATTCTGGTATTAACAACCCAATGATATTTGAACAATGTTTATTCAAAAATAAATCCAACTTAACTTCAATTTCATTGCCTCAGGAAAGAATTTCTCATTAAGCAAAACTTAGTAATGCAGAACCTTTCTTGCATAGAGTAACTCCAGATCCATTCAACCCATGATTATGGATATTACATTACAAATTCTCCAGTTTTCTCTTTTCTTCTTGGAAATGTCAAGGATTGAATCTGAGACTTCCTCTTTTCAAAGCATGTGCTCTACCAATTAGGTATATTTCTTTTTTTTCTTTTTTTCTTTTCCTTTTTCCTTTTTTTTCCTTTCCTTTCCTTTCCTATCCTCTTTCCTTTTCTTTAGACAAGGCTTTAATTATTCTTTACCTTTAAAGGAGGCTTACTTAGTTTTGTCCCCAAGACCAATTTATGAAACATAAGCTAAGAAGTTTATGCTCATAGACCTATTGAAACTGCACATGTAGGTTTAGCCAATTGAGATTATTATGCTTAAGGCTTTGATATACGGAGAGATTGTGCAGTTTCAGTGCCAGAATCAGGAGATCAAAGACCCTCCATTATAGTAGCTTCACTATCTTTTGTAGTGAATACATTGTAATTCTTATATGTAGGGGAGAAGAAAGAAGTGAGAATACATGAGACAATATCTAGAATTGTAGGTGGTGTAAAGGGAGCAAATGACAAAATATGTCTAGTGATGTTACAGTGCAAATCCCGTGATTTATATACTTGCTGATAATGTTGAAATGCAAATACAACAAGCAGATCATAATAATATTTGTATTTGATGCAACACAAATGTCATATTTCCATTTCTTGAGTTTGTAGCACCCATTTAGGAAGCAATGCATTTAATTTGCATTCAAATATATTTTAAACAACTGAAAACCAGAAAAAGTCACTATATATTTCTCACTAAGATTTGCTAAGATTTGATATGTTAATTTTGAGCCATTAATAATTATTAGGAAAAATATAGTGCGGCCGCCTTTGTACAACTAACATTGTAACATGTTAGTTCAAATGTAAGAATAATACTCAGAATAGAGTACAATATAAATATAGAAAGATATAAGAAACTAGCAAAATGTCATACACATGTAAACATATCAGAATCTATAAAAATCCACGCGTGTTTTATCTTTGTAATAATGTCTGTATTCCTGCTTCTTTTATACAATCCATGCTCACATGTATGCTAATATTCAAGGGCTTTATAAGCTGTCAAATACATCTCAGAAAGGATATATTGGTGATCAGAGAGAGTTGGTAAGACAGTATCTGATTCTTGAGGCTTTCTTTATGATCTGCTTCTTGCTGTATTGACCCCTGCAATGTGCTGTGCAAGAGCTTTCCTGGCTATCAAAGAAATATGATGGCTATCTTACTTGAGGTACAGTTCAAGGACCTTCTTCAAGGGCCTTCTTGTAAAAAAAAGGGCTTGGTGAAAGAACTCTTCTTGAAAAGGAAGACAAGGAGAAGAAGGAAATAGTTGATTTGTCATTTGTCTTTCTGCTTCAGCCTTAATCTGTAGTCAATAGGAAAACATTGGCTACAGTAGTATTGATGGGCTGTCAACTCAGAAGACAAAGCAAAGTCTATGATTGGATGTCCCTTCTTGTTCTGCAAACTTGTCCTGTGCTTGAATGAGCAGGGTTATTATCTCTGCCTTTCATCATATTCACCCCAATTATTAATGAGGTAGAACAGACTCAGCGAACACCTAGAGGCAAACCAAGACATTACTAAAAGCCAATACGGGTTTGTCAAAAACAGATCATGCCAGACAAATCTTATTGCATTCTTTGACCAAGTGACAAAATTAGTGGACCAGAGGAATGCTGTGGATATAATTTACTTGGACTTCAGTAAGGCATTTGACAAAGTAGATCACAACCTACTACTTGATAAGATAGAAAAATGCGGGTTAGACAGTATCACCATCAGATGGATCCGTAGCTGGCTGACCGGCCGTACTCAGCGTGTGGTCCTCAAGAGAACCACATCTACATGGAGGGAAGTGTGTAGTGGGATGCCCCAGGGCTCTGTTCTGGGCCCAGTGCTCTTCAACATCTTCATCAACGATTTGGACGAGGGGATAGATGGGGAACTCATCAAATTTGCAGACGACACCAAGCTGGCAGGAATAGCCAACACTCCAGAAGACAGGCTTAGGATACAGGAGGATCTGGACAGACTTGAACACTGGGCACTATCTAACAAAATGAAATTCAATGGTGAAAAAAGTAAGATTCTACATTTAGGCAAGAAAAACCAAATGTACAGGTATAGTATAGGGGGTACCTTGCTCAATAGTAGTAACTGTGAGAGGGATCTCGGAGTCCTAGTGGACAATCATTTAAATATGAGCCAGCAATGTACTGCAGCTGCCAAAAAAGCCAACACAGTGCTAGGCTGCATTAACAGAGGGATAGAATCAAGATCACACGAAGTATTAATACCACTTTACAATGCCTTGGTAAGGCCACACTTGGAATACTGCATCCAGTTTTGGTCACCACGATGTAAAAAAGATGTTGAGACTCTAGAAAAAGTACAGAGAAGAGCAACAAAGATGATCAGGGGACTGGAGGCTAAAACATATAAGGAAAGGTTGATGGAATTGGGTATGTCTAGTTTAATGAAGAGAAGGACGAGGGGGGACATGATAGCAGTGTTCCAATATCTCAGGGGCTGCCACAAAGAAAAGGGAGTCAAGCTATTTTCCAAAGCGCCTGAAGGCAGGACAAGAAGCAATGGGTGGAAACTAATCAAGGAGAGAAGCAACCTAGAACTAAGGAGAAAGTTCCTGACAGTTAGAACAATTAACCAGTGGAACAACCTGCCTCCAGAAGCGGTGAATGCTCCAACACAGGAATTTTTTAAGAAGAAACTGGACAGCCATTTGTCCGAAATGGTATAGGGTTACCTGCCTGAGCAGGAGGTTGGACTTGATGACCTCCAAGGTCCCTTCCAACTTTATTATTATTATTATTATTATTATTATTATTATTATTATTATTATTATTATTATTATCATTATTATTATTATTATTACTGACCTTTTCCATTCATGAATTCATTTGCAAAATTCCAAACCAAACATATTCTGTAATCTTAAACAGATTTACAGTCAGTAAATCCTGGAGTTTGTGTAGGAATGCAAATATCATTTGATAGTCTTATTCATTTTCATGAAAGCATGGATCACTGTCTATCCTAAACTTGAGTTCATCTTACATATTATGATTCAGAGTAGCAGCTAACTCCTATAGGGTAGCAATTAATTTCATTATACAGCATTTTAGGCTATCGAGTCCAACTCCATGTCAGTGTAACTGGCTGTCTAGTCTCTGCAAGAACATCTTCAATAAATCCATCTCATTTGAAGGTTCTTGGTTCTACCATCAAACTGCTTTCTTATCCCTGCACTCCTTTATTTAGTATCCTGATCTCTGGAACAATGGGCACAAGGTTTCAAATTCCCTCTGTTATGCTGTATCAGGTATTTGAAGAATGTTATTGTTCCCCTGCCCTCTCTGGTTTCTTCTTAAGGGTAAACATCTCCAGTCCCTTCATTCTATCTTTGTGGGGCTTATAATTTCTTAGGAAGATGATAATTTTATCACCTAAACCACCTAATAAACTAATTCTTACCTTTGAAAATTCGTCCCAATCCTCTGAAATCCATTTGATCTGAACAATTAAATACTACTACGTATTTCCCCAGTGCTTTCCCCATATCCTTGGTTGTTTCTGTTTTACCAGTCCCTGCAGGTCCTGCTGGGGCTCCTCCCATGTTCATTCCCAAAGCTTGAGCTAATGTAATATAACATCTGTAAAGATAAATGTATTTATCTTTATAAATATATTTGTACACATCAAAAACGATTCTTTAAAAATTTTGAGTTTAGGTATCATATAAACCTTTTAACAAATAGAGTGGAAAAGTATAGAATTTAATGCAGTTCCTTTTTAAAATTAATTAGAAGTAACAGGGAGAAAAGATTGCGCTCCAGTTTGCAACACTAAGACTCCATCAGACTTAAATATAAATAAATTATTCGCACCTGTCTGTTAAAGGGGTAATGACGAGACGATCTGTGCATCCCAGAAATTCATTTTGATAAACAAAATCAACATCAGTAATAGACACCAATGTGTGATCAAGATCTTCCTTGAAATAGAATCTGCACTGCTTTAACCATTCAAAATCAGACACTGATTTTATATGCATTTTAACCTTCAAAACAGAAAAGAAGCCTGAATTATACCAGAAGTGCACAGAAACATTATTTGCATGATGAATTTCAGGGATGGAATGATAAATATTTGTTTAGTTAGTGCCCCTGCCAACCCTCTCCAATTAATATTATCTCAAATTAATACATTTCATGTTTGGATTTACTTGCTTTGTTATTTTATTTCCTTTCTCACTTTTACAGTAGAAATGTTGTGGAACATTTGCTATGCTCATTCTCCAGTCTTTCTTCTGAAGATGAGACATCAATTACAGAGGTCCATCACTGAATTACTTGCCAATTGCTATTAGACATTTTTGCAAAATTTCAGCTAAAATATACAGATTCATTAATTTTGTCTTTAAATATTCAGAGCTAGAATTGTGTATGTGGGGTGCAGATGGTGATGGCCATCGCTGGAGGGTACAATTTTCCCACTCATTCCCCAGTGTTGACTCCCATCCTGATGCCCTGAACAGTTTCACAATTATAGGAGCCCTGTTGGTGCAGTGGTTAAAGTGCAGTATTGCAGGCAAACTCTGCCCACAATCTGGAGTTCGATCCTGACGACCCGAAGGTTGACTCAGCTTTCCATCCTTCTGAGGTCAGTAAAATGAGGACCCAGATTGTTGGGGGCAATATTCTGACATTGTAAACTGCCCAGAGATTTCTGTAAATCACTATAGCAATACCAATAGCACTTAGGCTTATATATCGCCTAAGTGCTATTGCTATTGCTATATCCAAGAACAAAATAGACATAACATAATTATATATATACATAACATAACAATTTTATATATACATTAACTTATCAGGCATCAACATTTCCATATTACCAGGTCATCAAAGATATCACGCTGATGTACATGGATGGTGATAAGGGTTTCAAATTTTACTCGGTCAAACTTGGAAAGATCATGAGTAGTCTGGCTAATAAGCGTATTTAGAATATCCAGAAATTTCTGATTGGTCACTGACATAATTTTCCGATCATCTTTTGCATTAGTTAATGCTTCTTCCGAATCATGGGTCCATAGCATTTGAATTCCCAGCAATCCTACCTATAATTTAAACAAATAATGTGTACAGGAACATTTATAGTTCAACGAATAACAAATACTTTAACAACTCCCAATTTTAAATTCTAATTTAGGGTGATTGATATGAACAACTAATAAATTGGGTTTTATTACAGATTTTGTCTTTTATGCAGGGTGAAAAATCAGAATGCCTTCAAAGGTACTCAGAATAAAAGCCGAACCTTCTTTTGCTGTATTGCCACAGAGATAACAAACAAGGAGCACTCCAAGGAAAAGGGCTGAGGAAGCAAGTTTGGAAGTTCTTAATAAAGAACTTCTGTGAGGAGGTTTCCATCTTTCATCAGTGTGGCCAACTTATGTCAAACAGACGCTATTTGGTTCTTACCTTATCTCCTTTGGAGGGGAGGATAGCCTAAAGAAAGAATAGAATAGAATAGAATAGAATAGAATAGAATAGAATAGAATAGAATAGAATAGAATAGAAGCTGGAAAGGACCTTGGAGGCCTTCTAGTCCAGCCTATACCAACTTAGACAAGTGACTGTCTAGCCTCTTTTTAAAAATCTCCAGTGATTTGCCCACGATTTCTGGGGGCAAGCTAGTCCACTGGTTAATTGTCCTCACTGTCAGGAAGTTTCTCCTTAATTCCAGGTTGCTTCTCTCTTTGACCAATTTCCAACCATTGTTTCTTGTCTTGCCCTCTGGTGCTTTGGAGAATAACATGACCCCCTCTTCTTTGTGGTAGCCCCTCAAACACTGGAATACTGCTATCATGTCTCCCCTATTTCTTCTTTTCTTTAGACTAGCCAAACCCAAGTCCCATAGCCGTTCTTTGTATGTTTTAATCTCCATGCCTTTGATCATCTTAGTACCTCTTCTCTGAATTTTTTCCAAACTCTCAACATCTTTTTTGTGATATGGTGACCAAAACTGGCTGCAGTATTCCAGGTCTGGTCTTACTAGGGTTTTATAAAGCAGTATAATACCTCATGTGATCTTGATTCTACGCAGATCTGTTTTTTGATTATCTTTTCTAGGAACTTCCCAGGTATTGATGTTAAACTGATTGGTCTGTAGTTTCCTGGGTCCATTTTTTTTTCTTTTCTTGAAAATGGGAACCACATCGGCCCTTTTCCAATCCTCAGATATTTCCCCGGTGCTCCAGGAGTTTTGAAAGATGTGGTGCAATGGTTCTGAGATAACATCTGCCAGCTCCTTCAGCACTCTGGGATGTAATCTGTCAGGCCCCAGTGATTTATATTTGTCAAAGTTGGATAGGTGTTCTCTTAACATTTTCTTGCTTATTTTAATTTTTGTTTCTAATTTGTCTTTTGCAGTGGGTTTTTTTTTGGTATGTTAGGCTATAGTTTGTTTTTGTGTGAAGACTGATGCAAAGTATGAGTTAAGCAGCTCTGCTTTCTCTTTTTTAGTGGTATCTTGCTGGTATGGGCTTTTATGATTGCATTTTTCAGAGTTTCCCATGCTTCTTGGGTTGTTTTCCCCTTTAGAATTTTCATCCATGGGATCTTTCTGAGGTTCTCTCTGAGTCTGTTAAAGTCAGCTCTTTCGAAGTTCAAGACACTGGTTGGAATGTTTGCTGTTGCTAGTGTTTGTGTTATATTAAATTCCAGTATGACATGGTCACTTTCGCCCAAGGTTCCAGCAACTTCAACTACCTCTATCACTTCTTCTCTATTAGTTAGAATTAATCCAGTATGGCTTTACATCTAGTTCTCTCCTCCACCTTTTGGATGACAGAGTTGTTGGCTAGGTTGCTGAGGAATCTGTTTAATCTCCCGCTAGCTGCAGAGTTTGTCTCCCAGTTGATATCTGGATAATTGAAGTCTCCCATTACTACTGTGGTATGCTTCCTACATACATTTGTTAACTGGTTGGCAAGAGTTCATCTATTTCTTCTGATTGGTTGAGTGGCCTGTAATATACACCTATGGTAATGCCACTTTTTTTCTCTTTTATATTGACCTATATGCATTCTGGAGACATTTCATCTTGGGTCAGAACCTCTGAAATCCTGGGGACACATGGGAGCCTCCCATTTCTAAAACTGACCGCTTATATATATAATTAAAGCAGCCACCATGTCACATTGCCTGAATATTGCATGTAAGTATTTTGTCTCTTCTTTCACCCTTTTTATCTTTTCCAAAATGGTCACGGTTGCACCACTTTTTTATTCATATTCACTTTATACAAATCTAGAACAAACCATTGTCTAAATCAATCAATAAAGGATGGTCCAAATTTGTTAACATTAAGCCGTTGTAATGTTCACACGAAAACAAAGAGATCTGTACACTATTAATTACTTGCTTCATTTGTTGTCACAAAGAGAAAGTTACAGTTCACAAAATTATGTAAATCTTTCCAAGCTTTTTATTTATTATTGGCATGTAAATTCAGCCTCTTTGCATGCTTACATTTGAACACCAACTAGTTTTCAAATTTCTCACCTGTGCTGGGAAATGATATAGGAAATTTAGTAGTTGGAAGCTTGGATCGCTAATCTGATAAAATGCACCCCGAATTACACAATGTAATGAAGACTGTTGCATTTTCAATAGGTCGAACAGCCAAAGCTCTACGGGTCCTTTTGCATTTACTGGGGTGTCCAACTGAAATAATATATAACACATATGTGTTATTACCCATTATTGGCTTAGCATTATATTCATATCAGGCCATAATACATTCAACAAATATGGTTATTTGTATTCAACAAAATACAGTATAGTACTTAAAAGTCCCGACCTGTTGAGTATGTATGCAACAACAGAGATATACATAGTAGATAAAAGATATTGAAAGCAGGAAGATTGCTTTCCTTTAATGGCTGTAACTTTCAATCTATTTTATTCTTTCCTGTTCTGATACCAGAATTCTTAGGGAACATTCTGAAAGGTGTAATCTAACTTATCTGGAGGAAGATTTGCTTATTTCTTTCAAATAGCAGGAATTTGAAAGTCAATATATTTATTGAAAAACAAATAATCTAGTGCTATATTTTTAAATATTAGATATAAATGTTGCCTAACAGAGTGTCAGAGTATATTACCTACTGCTGTTAATTATGGGTTAGTAAAACAAGGCTATCTCAAAGCTTAATATTCATTAAAACAGTGTTTCTTAAAGTGTGGTCTCAGGGCTTTGTAAAATCAAAATTATCTGCCACCCTATGTTGAAAAATTATATTATAAAAATCAAATCAATTGTGATAGTGGTATATTCAGCAATGAATATATTAATTTTAATTTTTAATACAGTAAACACAGATAAATATATCATTAAAAGCTCTTTTGGGGTCCACCATAATTTTTAAAAGTTGAAGAGGTTCTGAAATAAAAATGTTTAAGAAACATTGTATTAAAGAACATGTTATAAGATTAATTAACATATAATACATAACATAATAAAAAATTATGAATACTACAAATGTACTCCATACCACCTGATTGAGAGTCATTAAAAGATAGCCAAATCACCTCTAAAACATATTAAATTCCACATTTTCAATAAAATTCTAAGCAACCTTTGGCAAATCTAGGAGTGGGAAAGGGGATTATTTATAACTAAGATAATTTAATATTTTTTATTTTATATTTGGTTTGTGCAAAGTAACATGACTTTCTTTTTAATTTAGGAATATTTTGCAGCATAAAATAACTATTTTTAAAATTAAAATTATACTAATTTAACAAAGGAAAATGTTACAGGAATTTTTTCTCCTTCTCTCGATACAACTGTCATAATGCGATCATAATCCTTTGGGTGAAATTCCACTTCATTTATATTGTCAGATAAACCAGGAAGGTGTGGCTAAAAGAAAAATGAGACCAATTACAACAATATAATTGTCATTTAAATTAGCCATTCTCATAAATAAGATTATATGTTAAAGGAAAAAAATGTAGAACTGAAGAATTGTAATATAAGCAGTTTGTACTGATAACTATTCCAACACAAGTCAATATTAACTGAGAATTTATCATATGATAAATAATTATCCATCCATATTTTTATTTATTTATTATTTATTATTTCAATTTATATCCCGCCCTTCTCCCGAAGGACTCAGGGCGGCTCACAACATTATTAAAACAAAGAAAGACCCACACACCCCACCGAATAAAACCAAATTAAAACCAAAATTTTTATGTTGTGATAATTAAAATTTCTAAAAAAACCCAGTTTAAAAATCCTCCCTAGGCCAGGCCCGCTTGTTGGAA